CCCCCGTTCGCAGCAGCCCAGCGGAGCCTCCGGGGCCAGACGGGCAGGGGCTGCGGGTCACATTTAGCAAGAATTCGGTGACAGCAGGACCGGAGCGGGGCTCGGACTGGGACGTGGGACAAAATCAAAGATCAGCCTGCCCCGCAGCCTCCACGAGGCCGCCCTGCCCGAGCACCAGGCCGCCGGAGCCCTGCGGGGGGGCCTGGCTCCCTCGGTGCCCCCAAGGGGCGCGACAGGTGTTAGCCATTCCCTTTGCCAGTTTCCTCCCCCCGGCTCTCCCAAAACCTCCCCAGGAAGCCTCCCCAGGAAGCCTCATCACTGGTCTCACCTGACCTCAGGTCACAGGATTTATGCTTTTTAGTTTCTACGATTTTAACTTGCGCCTGTTCGTGTTCTTTAAGAACCTAAAATTCTGGTTAGTATTATTACTAACAATAACAGTAATCTTTTAAAATTAAAAAGCCTTTTATTACAAGGGCATCCTGTGTTTATCACAGACTAATGGTGGGAAATAAGAAAATGCTCGTGACCACGCTCCTCCCACGTGGAGACCGTGGACGCCCCGGCAGCGTTTTTCTCGCAGACTGTTCTGAGCCCCGCATGCCGGAGGCGGTGACGGTGGCATCACGTGTGCGCCGACACGTGCGGGAGGCCGTGACGTCACACGCGCGGCGTCAGGTGGGGCGGTGACGTCACCTGTTCGCCTCCGGGAGCTTCCCCGCCGACGTGAGCCGGTTCTCTCGGGGAGTGTGAGGAGGGCGTGTGCGGCGTGGGAGCTGAGTGACGCTGTCTTTCAGGATACACCCAGCTCTGCGACTGGTGGAGTGTTGGCGTGATTCTCTTCGAGATGCTGGTGGGGCAGCCGCCCTTCCTGGCGCCGACTCCCACGGAGACCCAGCTGAAGGTAATGGGGCACGTGGTTTTCTGATGAACCCAGGAGGCTTAGGCCAACATTTGACCTTTTACTCTGAATAGTGTAGGGATGTCATTTGTATGTCACGGGATGTATTCTTGTTATTACCTATTAATTTTTTATCTGGGTAAGTAGAGGCACAGGGTCAGAGCTGAGTTGTGATGTGCGCGTGAACCTGAACCATGGTCGCCTGCCGATGTGGTGCTTGCCTGTGAGAACTAGGAGTGGGCGGAGCACCGAGGCTGCAGGTCTGGGCCCGGCGCACCTGCCGCCGTGCAGCAACCACCACGGCTTTGTGACTGTGCCCGAGGAAATCGGTTTGATACTTGGATGTTCTGTCATTACCGTTGGCCAATTATAAGCTATGTGTCAGGCTAGTTGTGCACATTTCTGATACTCAATTAAAAAATTACTACGTCAAGTAATAACAGTACTAAAGAATGAGTTTTAGAATGGTAGCCATTTACTCTCTGAAATGAATGATTTGATTACTTGAAGACTGAACAGAGAACCTGATGAAACCTTTGGAACTTCTCAGAACAGTGCCCGTACGCATGTTCACTGACAGTTCTAGGATGTATTCACATACCCCGGAGTCCACGGGAGACCCGAAATTAATAACCTCTTAATTAGAAAAACCCTAAATTAAGGCTTGGTTTCTTTACAGTAACAGTGAAATTGGAATTGGCATATTATCTATATCCCAATTGAATTGCTGAACTAGTTACCAATTTGTCTGCATGATAATAACCCAGTTTTTAAAATTGTGGTGAAGTTTACCATTTTAACTACTTTTAATTGTACAATTCAGTGGCGTTAAGTATTCACAATGTTATGCAACAGTCACCGCTACCTATTTCGAGACATTTTCACCATCCCAAGCAGGAGTTTAACTAATAAATGATAACTCCATTCCTCCCTCCCCTCTGTCCCTATAACAGCTCTTGTATCAATACTTTCTGTCTCTATGGAGTTGCCTATTCTAGGGGCCTCATATAAGTGGAATCATACAGTATTTATCCTTCTGTGTCTGGCTTATTTCATTCAGCATAATGTCTTCAAGGTTCATCCATGTTGGAGGCTGTGTCAGAATTTCCTTCCTTTTTAAGGCTGAATGATATTACATTGTATGTAATATTGAGTAATACTCCATTGTGTGTAAATAACATTCCATTTTTTTTAATCCATCATCTGGCAATGGACATTTGGGTTGTTTCCACCTTTCGGCTCTTGTGAGTAGTGCTGCTGTGAACATAAGTATGTGTACAAGTATCTGTTTGGTCCCTGCTTTCAATTCCTTTGGGGATATACCCAGGAGTGGAATTGCTGGGTCATATGGTCATTCTATGTTGAAACTTTCTGAGGAACCTCCATACTGTTTCCATAGTGGGGGCACCATTTTACATTCCCACCAACAGTGCACAAAGGCTCCTATTTCTCCACATCCTTGCCAACACTTAATTTCCTTTTGTTTTTTTTTAAATAGTAGTTATTCTAGGGGGTGTGAGGTGGTATCTCATTGTGATTTTGATTTGCATTTCCCTAAGGTTCAGTGATGTTGAGCCTCTTTTCATATGTTTCGTGGTCATTTGTAGATCTTCTTTGGAGAAATGTCTATTCAAGTCCTTTGCCCTTTTTTAATTCGGTTCTTTGGGTTTTTGTTGTTGAGTTGTAGTTCTTTATATAGTCTGGATATTAATTCCTTGTCAGCTATATGCTTTGCAAATACATTCTCCCGTTCCATGGTTTGTCTTTTCACTCTGTCAGTGTCCTTTGATGCACAAAAGTTTTAAATTTTGATTAAGTCTGTTTTATATATATTTTTTTGTTTTATTGCCTGTGCTTTTGGTATCATATCCAAGAAATCATTGCCAAATCCAACATCATGAACGTTTTCCTTTATGTTTTCTTCTATGAGTTGTATAACTTTGGCTCTACTAAAACAACAACTCAGTTTCAAACCAGCCCTCGCACCGCCTGCCCCCGTGCCACTCCTGGTTATATTGGCCTTGCTTTATCCTGACTTCACGTGTAAACAAGAAGTCTCTTAGGCTTCCTCCTCACAGCAGACAGGTCTCTGTGAGCGTCCTGACGGCTGATGTGTGTGGTTGAGCATCACCAGCTGGGGGTGGCTTCCTCGCCCTGTGCCTCAGGCTGTGGGCTCCTCCTGAAACCACACTGACCGTCTGTAGCTGCTCAGAGCCTCCTACGTCTGTTCTGTTCTCCCATCGTGAAATTATCAAGATCTTTTTAAATTAAAAAAAGTTATTTTTATTGAAGTATAGTTGATTTACCATATTGTGTTAGTTTCAGGTGCGCAGCAGAGTGATTCAGGTATATATTATTTTCACATTCTTTTCCATTATAGGTTCTTAACAGATATTGAATATAATTCCCAGTGCTATCCAGTCGGTTCTTGTTATCTATTTTATATGTATTGAGTAGTCGTGTGTATCTGTTAATCCCAAACTCCTAATTTGTCTCCTCCTTCCCTCCCTCTCCCCTTTGGTAACCATAACTTTGTTTTCTATGTGTGTGAGTCTGTTTCTGTTTTGTAAATAAGTTCATTTGTATCGTATTTTAGATTCCACATATAAGCGATATCATGTGGTATTTGTCTTTCTCTGTCTGACTTCACTTAGTATGATAATCTCTAGGTTCATCTGTGTTGCCGCAAATGACATTATTTCATTCTTTTTTCATGGCTGAGTAGAATTCCATTGTATATATGTAACACATCTTTATCTATTCATCTGTTGATGGACATTTTGCTTCCATGTCTTGGCTATTGTAAATAGTGCTGCTATGAGCGTAGGGGTGCATGTATCTTTTTGAATTATAGTTTTGTCTGGATATATGCCCAAGAGTGGGATTGCTGGATCATAGAGTAGCTCTATTTTTAGTTTTTTGAGGAACCTTCGTACTGTTTTCCATAGTGGCTGCCCCATTTTACCTTCCCACCGACAGTGTAGGAGGGTTCCCTTTTCTCCACACCCTCTTCAGCATTTATCATTTGTAGGCTGATGATGGCCGTTCTGACTGTTGTGAGGGGGTGTACTGCATTGTGGGTTTGATTTGCATTTCCCTGACGATTAGCAATGTTGAGAAATGATCACATTCTTTAACACCCTGTCCCGGGACAGCCCTCGTCGGCCTCGAGGTTGAGGAGGAAGGAACACCGGGTGTATTGTCCCCGCAGGTGATTAACTGGGAGAGCACGCTGCACATCCCCACGCAGGTGGAGCTGAGCCCCGAGGCCCGGGACCTCATCGCCAAGCTCTGCTGCTCGGCTGAGCACCGGCTGGGCCGCAACGGGGCCGACGACCTGAAGGCCCACCCGTTCCTGGGCGCCATTGACTTCTCCAGCGACATCCGGAGGCAGCCTGCCCCCTACGTGCCCACGATCAGCCACCCCATGGACACGTCCAACTTCGACCCAGTGGACGAGGAGGGCCCCTGGCAGGATGGCAGCGAGGACAGCTCCAAGGCCTGGGATGCACTGGGCCCCCCGGGCAGCCGGCACCCCGAGCATGCCTTCTATGAGTTCACCTTCCGGAGGTTCTTTGACGACAACGGCTACCCATTCCGGTGCCCCAAGCCTGCGGTGGCCGAGACCGGGACTGAGGCCGAGCAGCCAGCTGCGGGGGGCCTGGCCCCGGGGGCACAGGCCGGGGGCTGCCAGCCCGTGTACGTGTAGATCCTGGGGGACCGGGAGGTCAGCCCCTCAGGTCAGTTGGCCGATTGCCCCTTGAAAGTCTGGTCTGCACCCAGAACCAAAGCAGAAAAGTTTCTGAAAGAGGACTCGCCTCTGACGTCTTCTCCACATTCTGGTTGATGGTGGGGCGGGTGTCAACATGGCCTGGAATTGGCTTTTGAGGACCTTCACTGCATTAAAACAATATTTTTTAAAATTAGGACAGTTTAGAAAGAGCACTTATTTTGTTTATAGCCATTTTTCTTACTAAATTATAGGGATTAATTTTGACAAATCATGCTGCTGTTATTTTCTACGTTTGTATTTTATCCACAGCACTTATTCACATTTAGGCATGGATTTGATCCTTGGTTGGGAAACTAGGATCCCACGTGAGGAGGGGCACAGCCAAAAAAAAAAAAAAAAAAGATAACACTGTTCTGATGTTACTGATACCATTTATTCACACAGTGGTTTTTGTTTCATATTTTTCCCACATTTCAAAATTGTGATACATGTTAAAAGCTGCTTTTGTTTTGTTCTGTTTGCTTTTTGCATATTATAGTATAATAGGAAGTGTGAGCAGGTGATCACGCGGGTGTGACTTCAGATGCCAAGTGTGGAGAGATCGCTGCATGAACAGGGTTTTTCTATTAAAGCGTGACCGTGTCTTGCCATTCACAGCGGGTTCTGTGAATACGTTTTGAGTGAGTAATTCTGGACAGTGTGCTGATGCCGTGTCGTCCTGTGGTGACTTCCTCGTTGTGACTGCACCCCTCCTCTCTCGTTGAGGGAATGCACGTGTGCCTGAGAGCTGATGTGACTGTATGTGTCGTGGGTGTGATTGGATTCTTTGGGGGGCAAAGACATTTGTCCTACACTACACTTGTATACATCAAAAGGGATTCTCTTAGCTCTGCCAAAAAAATGTTAAGTTAGTCGTGGACCTCTGTCTGCTTCGCGAGTCAGGATGCTGTCCTGGTGGTACAGCCGCCACGGGTAGCTGGAGCCCCACCTGGCAGACGCCCCACGGAAGGGCAGTGATCTTGGGGTTCTCTCACCGTATTTCTAGTGTGCTTTGAAGGATCCATCTTAACTTGGTTTTAGAAGCACATTTTTCTAATCTTTGTGAAACAGCAAAGTGATGTTGAAAAAGAAAAGATATTTAAGCCATACATATTTTCTTAGGAGTGTAAATGTATATATAACTACATAGATAAACACAAAATATTCCTATTTCAAATTAGTATGATTCCTATTTAAAGTGATTTATATTTGAATAAAAAGTTAAATTCTTTTTTTGCTTTTTAAAAACCTGATGCATCATATTTTTCATTATATTATTCCACGTATTTTTCCTTGAGGTTTTTAGCATAATGTATCCATTAGTGTATCTCTAGGCAGCAAACTTAGGCGTCTATCGATGGCTAAACTGAAGATTCCTGTGTACTGGTTTACATGTGTGTGAGTGGCAGGTTCTGGGTCTGCTGTGCTGTGTCGTGACTGTCAGTGTTTCTCTAGTTTTGCAGTAACGCCGTGTTGTTATTTACGCTCTGACAGACGTCATGTGGTAGGTTCTTTCTCAGGAACTCAATTTAACTATTATTTATTGATATATCATTGCCTTTGAAAAGCTTCTACTGGCACAATTTATTATTAAAGTTTTGAATCCAAATCCACTGGTGTCAAGCTTCATTGGAATTTGTAAGTTCTTGCTTATATCACGTGTTGCGACTCCCCCAGGCTTTCCTGTGATTCACGCGCAGCCAGGGCTGCCATCGGGAGGGGGAGGGGGAGGAGCCCCCCCCCCCCAGAGGAGATCGGGTTTCAGGTCAGCACACGGTGGTCCAAGCAGGGGTGCGGTTGTGTGACCGGCTTCTCTTCGCCAAGGTGGTGACAAGTGTATGGCATTAGATTGTCGAGCGGGTCAAGTGGGGTGTCAGGTAAATCGTGAGTGGGAGCTGATTCCCCTGCTCGGGACAGTAACACTGATAGGACAAGGCTAACGCCTCACCTTTGCTTTAAGATGGTTGATGGTATTAAGAAATACAGAAAATATCGTTTGTTTTACTCTGAGTTGGTCTTTTGAAAGGTGCAGTCACGTGGTCCCCACTGGGCAGTTGCGACTCCACCAGGCCGCCTCCGACCCTGTCCTAGCGGGGAGGGGCCCCCCCTTACTGCCGGCCCCCGCTTTCCTCTTAGGCTGCCACGTTGGGGAGGCATCGTCAGCCGACGGGCGTGGAGGTCCCAGCGTCCTGCCCTAGCAGGAGTCCTGGCAGTCACCCCAGCAGGACGCTGGGGGCTCTGCTGGCAAGGCCGGGGGCAGGGTTTTCTGGTCTGACTGGCTGTACTGGAGCAGTTACTGCCCGTCTGTCTGCCCGTCTCGTCTGGGTCGGGGGTCGGGCTGTCGCTGGGACCCGGCTTGCTGGCACTTGCAGGTTGCTGGCCTCAGCTCCAAGCCTGGAACCGGAAAGAAACCCCGGAGCACGTAGCGCTGCGTCGTTCATCAGGCCCCGAGGCTCAGCTCCTCTGATGCCGCCTCCCCACCTCTCAGGGTCTTCTGTTCTGCCTGCCGTGTCCAGGAGTTTTCGTTGTACTTGGTGGGAGGCGTAGGAAAAATCTGCTCCATCTTCCTGGAGGTGGAAGTGGGTTTCGGTTTCAGTTTCAGTTTCAGTTTTGAGTAATGAAGGCTCACAACTCACCACCTCAGTCACGCCAGCCACGTTTCGCAAGCTTGTCGCCGTGCGTGCTCAGTGGCCCACGCTGGATAGCACGGGTCTGCGCAGAGTCCTCTGGCTGTGCGTTACTCCTTGCGCTGACATCTGGCAGGATCTGGGCAGTCGCGGAGCAGTTGGCCTTCATCTCTTTCTCATGTGTCATTCCGTCTTGGGTAGTGGAGAGACCACCCTTGCTCGGCAGTGGGTCAGCTGACCTGACCACCCACAGTGTCCAGCCTTAAGCTCGGCAGCATCGCGCCCTCTTCCTTTCCTGCTTGCCCGCCGCTCTGAACGCGCAGACCCTCCTAAAATCACCAGCTTCCTGCCGGCGACTGGTGTCTCCAAAAGGATCGGAGTAGCTTATGGATCCAGGACCCGGCTACAGACGTGGAGCCTGCCTCCCCACCCCTGCAGCGGGAGCTCGGAGTCTTAACCACTGGACTGCCTGGGAAGTCCCAAAATTATATTATTTTTAGAAAAGAGTCTCTGTCCATATCTCACCATTTCCTGCTTCCCAAACACAGCCTCTCCCATGTCTTCTATGTCATTTTTCTGGCATTTTCACTAATAGGCTCTTAATGATATTTCTTGATTTACTTATTTTAAATATTTTCTTATCAGTGACATATATGGTAATTCTCTTATAGGCCTTCCTCAACCTCTGTTTCCTAGTGTAAGTTCTCTCACAACTTTTAGTTAAATCAGTTATCGACGTACATATTATTAAGACTATGCTGGGGAATTCCCTGGCCGTCCAGTGGTTAGCACTTTCACTGCCATGGCCCGGGTTCAATCCCTCGTTGGGAAACTAAGATCCCATAAGCCTCGAAGTGTGGCCAAAAACAAAAAACAAAAAACAAAAACAAAAAGAAAAGACTACTAGGTTGTCTTTGAGCCAAATGGTGCATTCTGATTATGTTTCCTTCTCATACAAGAAAATTTTCCTCTTGAACTTAGTAATTACCTTGTTTTTCATTTACTTTGTTTTCTTTGAAAGTACAGGTGTTTTGTCCTTCCTTCCTTCCTTCCCTCCTCCCCTCCCCCTCTCCCTCCCTCCCCAGTTGCTGCAATGGATCTGTCAAATCCCCAGACTGTTTTCCAGGAGCACGAGTGCTTTGTCTACCTCATCCTGCAGTCTGGACCAGCTGCCCTTCAAGCCTGACAAACAGCTGTCATCTTGGGAATTCTCTTTGTCACTTTCCTGTGTTGGATCCCATTTTGCCAAATGCCGTATCTTCCTTTTACTCAGTTTACACCTGGATAAAAGTTGGGGTTCTTGCTTGTCCAAAAATGTCCCTTTTCTACTTTATTGAAAATATAAATAAATCTAAGATTCTAGGATGAAATTCACACAGCATTTTGGAGGCATTAGTCCTCTGTTTCCCAGGTTCACAGTCTTGTTGAATACCCTTTCTCTCTAGAAGCTTCTAGAATCATCTCTGTCTACCCTGTGGTCTACACTTTATGGCGATGTTCCTCCATTGGTTTCGTTTATTGTCCTGAACACTGAGGCTTCAACCTAGAGATGTGTGCCCTTTGGCTCTGGGGAATTTTCTTGCATTATTTTTAAAAAATATTTATTTATTTATTTATTTAGGCTACACTGGGTCTTAGTTGCGGCATGCAGGCATCTTAGTTGTCGCATGCATGGAGGATCTAGTTCCCTGACCAGGGATTGAACCTGGGCCCCCTGTATTGGGAGTGCCGAGTCTTACCCACTGGACCACCAGGGAAGTCCCTTCTGGCATTATTTTGAACTTCATTCCCTCCAAAGATTCTCCAACTCCTCAGCCGATTCTCTGATTTCTTATATTTATTTCCTGTCATCCATGTTTTTTTTTATTCCACTTTCTGGCAGACTTCATTGACTTCATCTTACAGATTTCATATTAAATTTTGGGGGCGAAGGTATTATCTTTTTAATTCCCAAGAGCTCATTCTTGTTCTCCAATCAGTCTGTCCGTCCCTGTTTTATGTCTTCAGTATTTGTGTTTGTTACCCCTCTTATCATTTCAAGGGTTTTTTCATTCTGCTTCCAAATTGTCTGTATTTCCTCTGGGCTCCTTTGTATTATGTTTTTGCTGCTTGTTCTTTGTTTTACTCTTTCTCCAAATTCATGCTGGAGGCTTTCCTTAAATGACTCTGACCATCTTTTTTTTAAAAATAACTTTAATGGGATATAATTCACATAAGTACAAAAAATTCACCCAATTAAGGTATATCATTCAGCAGTTTTTAGTATCTTCACAGACTTGCAGAAACATCACCACAATCAACTTGAGAACA